GAGTTCATAATTTTCTTTCATCACTTTGTCCAGTGAACTTAGGTGCAACCAACCAGCTTCATTATGTTCCTTGGTCTTCCAAATATAGTCAAACGTATTACATATAGAGTCACTAAACTCTTTGCCTCTCATGAGCAGTGAATCAGGAGTGTCAAATGCATTTATTTTGCATAACTGTCTAAACAGTTCATGCCAAGGATTATCATGTTCTCCACACTATTAGAAGTGGAGTCCTTAGCATTTTTGAGTCTAATCATATTGAGCAGCCAACCCCAGAAACCCCCAAACCAAGGAAAGAACTCCATCCTTAATATTCTTTTCCTTTAGAACCATCCTACTCTCAGTACCAAAATCTGTATTAGCCACAGTTCTCTATAGGTACAGAACTAATATATATGAGTTTATTAAGTATTGACCTCACAAGGTCCCACAATAGGCCATCTGCAAACTGAGGAGCAAGGAGAGCCAGTTTGAGTTCCAAAAGTGAAGAACTTTGAGTTCGATGGTCGAGGGCAGGAATCATCCAGCATGGGAGAAAGATGTAGGCTGGAAGGCTAGGCTAGTCTAGTCTTTTCATGTTTTTCTGCCTCCTTTTTTTTTTTTTTTTTTTTTTGAGACAGAGTCTTGCTGTGTTGCCCAGGCTGAAGTGCAACAGTGTGATCTCAGCTCACTGTGACCTCCGCCTCCTGGGTTCAAGTGATTCTCCTGCTTCAGCCTCCTTAGTAGCTGGGATTACAGGGGCACACCACCATGCCCCACAAATTTTTTGTATTTTTAGTAGAGACAGGGTGTCACCATGTTGGTCAGGCTGGTCTTGAACTCCTGACCTCATGATCTGCCTGCCTCAGCCTCCCAAAATGCTGGGATTACAGGCATGAGCCCCTTCTTAGCTTCTGGCTTTAGGGGATATTGTCTTTTGTTAGGGAATGAAGTGGGGTCCTTAAAATGGATTTGGACGGATGTGGCTGTGGTGGCTCAGCCAATTTTTCCCTGAATTGCCCAAACTTTTGGGTTTATAAAGAGTCTATCCTGGAGCCATAAGGATGGTGGTCCCCATATGAGCTAAAATATACCTACCTAGCAGAGGAGTAGAGCTTTCAGGCATGATTAAGAAGCCATGAGTAAACAAGAGGTCTTCCCAGCTACAACTAAGGGATTGGGGAAAGTATCAGGTTAAGGGCTTTCCTGAAATGCCCATCACAATCGTACTAAGGGAGGAGAAGAGAACAGAAATGGCAGCTCTGGTATTGAGAAGGAAGTTCACCTTCCTCCCTTTGACCTCCAGAATCACCTGGGGCTCCTGGATGGTGATGGCAACCTGAGATGTTGGAGCCGGGGAGTCGAGTCCTCGGACCTTTCAGTTTTGCTGGACCAATTGTGAGGCTGGCTCTGGACCCAGCGACCTGTACCTCTGGGGACAGTCTGCCTGCCTTCCAGTGGTACCCACCACAGGCTGAACAAGGTCAAGGTAATCTTCTCTTGCTGTCTGGGCAATTCTTCTTAGAAGTGCCCTGGTTTGTCACACTTGTAGCAATTAGCAGGTGCACCTAGGCGATCCTGGGGTCTGGAGGCCTGTAGAGCAGCTACCTAGAGCCCCTGCCTTTTTCTTATGTCTCCTCTCTTTCTCCTAAGTCTCCTCCTGAACTCCATTGTAAAAGACTAAGGTGATCACCTTTTGGTGGTTTTCTAAAGTGCTACCTGGTCCTATGGTCTGTTTTTGTAGCTTCCTCCTGATATCTGGTATTGCCAGAGTAATAAATTTGTCATTTAGGATTAGTTGTCTCTCAACTGAATCAGGAGATAGAGGGGTGTGCTCCACCAAGTCCTCTCTTAGCCTTTCCAGAAAGCCAGAGGGATTCTCATCTAATCTCTGGTTGATCATAGTTTTGAGTAATTGAAAGGCTTAGCTCTAGTCCTTCCCAAGCCCTCCAATACGCATGCCTGAAAGTGTTTCCTCCTCCATTCTCCCATGTTATCATCACGGTCCCATTTAGGGTCCTCCAATGGTATCGCTGTCTTTCCAATTGAATAAGGCTCCTTGCCTTCTCTGGCACTATAGGATGTACAAAGCTCATTTCCAAATTTCTCTGCAACTTGCAGGGAGGCCTGTTTCTCACAGTGGTCAGGGTTTGCTTTAAGAGTAATATAATGTCCTTCCAGGAGAGTTCAAATACTTGGGTTAAATCCTGGAAAGCCGTTATATACCTGCCAGGGTCGCCTGAAAACCTACAGAGAGCTACCTTTAGCTCTCCCTTTAGAAAAAAGGGGACCTGTGCCTTAATAGGGCCATATTCACAAGGCATTTCTTATAGGGGCATCAGTGAGGCTTGGACTCAACTAGAACAAAAATTTCTATGATGGGGCAAGTTTAAGCGGGGACATGGACAGGGTCGATAGGATTGACCAAGAGAACTGGCTTCAGGGGCTGGCGCCTTTTCTGGGGACGTTCTAGGGTTTGTTTCCTTGATCCACTAGGACTGTCCTTTGTGGGGTTTTTTGATATAACCATTAGGAGGGCTGGGTGAACTTTACAGTGTTAACAGAGGTCTGGGTTATCCTGGGTGAGCCCCTAGGAAATGTTGCAGTTTCCTTACTCCTTAGTTTAGCAAGTTCCAAGTTCTTGTCTCGTGACCATGAAGAATGAGGTATGCAGAAACAGGAGGGGGGGTAAGGCAGAGTCGAGTTTTATTAAGTGACAGAAAGACAGCTCTCAGTAAAGACAGGGGACCTGAAAGTGGGTTGCTGCTGACCAGCTCATCCAAAGGTTTTTATCCCTTCTTTCTAGGGATGTTTTCCTCATTTGCATCTTACATAACCTCCTACTTCCAAGTTGCTTCCTAGTTCCACTTCTCTCTGTGCAGGTGCATTCTTGTCCACAGTTACTCCATTGTAATTATTACCCACAGGCACCACAGAAAAGCCCAATTAGGGGTAGTGGTGGTAAAACTGCAATGTAGATGTCATGTTCATGATATTATAATAAGCTGGGTCAAATTAAGGACATTTAGTTGATTTATTGTGCTTGTGCCTAAGTTGGGACAGTCCATTCTGAGCAAACATCCTGGTATAAGAGGAAGTTCTTAACCACATCTCCACCTGCTAGCTACGTAACAGGGGCAGTGCACATGCTTCCTTGTGGGTGTTGTTCTCTCCTGAGACTCTCCATCTCTACCTGCCTAGCCAGCCCCTAACTGCCTCCTTTCACAAAAGGTACAGTGACCGGTCCAAGGTCATGCAGAAAATTGGCTAGCAGAGGGGCCCAGACCTAGAGGAACCCTAGGGACAGAACATTTTAAGGCCAAGGCTGGGCCCTTATGCCTGTGCTGGATGAAATCCCAACCCTACAATAAGAAGTTACTTCCTCTGACAACACCTGGGTTCACTGAAAAAAGAGGAGACAGAAAGCCTCCCACAAACCCAGCTCAGGTTGATGTGTCTTGTCTTGCAGTCAGCTTTGCCCTCCCTCAGTGGGAAAAGGGGCCAAGTTCAGTACTGCCAGCAAACACAGGACTGGCCTGGTGACCACTATTTACAGCTTGCCCTGGGGCCCAGGGAAAACAGCAGGGAAGGGTCCCACTGTTTAAGAACATACAACCCCAAACACAAGGAAAGGGTGAAGGGACTTATTTGGGAATTTCCAGCTGAAGGACATGGGTTTTCTTGGTTTCCATTCTGGGGCATCTGAGAGCCTGGAACTCTATCTAGTTCATTGAGGTGTGGGGTGTATTGAGGAGGAACCAATTCACAGGGGGCCAGCCGCAGTGCCTCAGTTCTCAAGAACAGGCCACATTCCTGGGCCCTTCCTCAGGCCTCTGGCACAGACACTTCCCAGCTGCACACTGGCACCTGGGAGACAATGACCCAGTTTTTCTGAAATGATGATTGCTGTTCTGAAGATCATGTTCATGGATATACTGACAAGTTTTGACTTTTCTGTTTCTTTTAAGAAACTGTTTCGGGGAGTCCTGCATTAGAACAATGTGGGTGCCCTTGCTCTAGGTGGGAGGACACCTTAGCATCTTGGTCCCAGCTGGCCAAGCTGAGGATGGACTTGGCCATGAACCCAGCATGTGGTTCAGCCCCAGCGGGAATTTGCCAGGACAAACCAGGGAGGAAGGTTCAATCCGGTCTGTTGGAAAAGCAGCTGCCCACCTGGAGTTGTATATAGAAACGGGCTTCCAATCACTCCAGCTCTGTGAGCCTCTCTCCAATGTACATGCCTGAGAAGAAAAACAAGTGAGGAGACTCACCTCGACTGTGTCACATGGGTGTCCCCCAAGCATACCTGCCTCACCTGGAAGAGGAGAGAGGGACTCGTGACCTAAAGCAGCTCAGAAACTTGCAGTGGAGGGTGATGGGTAGGATGGGGTTCTGGCAAGGAAGAGTAGGCAGGAGCTGCTGGAGGGGAAAGGAACTTCGATCATGCACCTGCTGGGCACCAGGCACACCCTGTGAGCTTCTGTAATCCTCATGTCCAGTAGGGGTGTCTGTGTGTGTGTTTATGTGTGTGCACGTGACATCCCAAGGTCAAGTCAGCATCTGTCCAACTCAACGCTGGTGTCCTATCTTCGGGCTGCTGCTCTCTACAGTTGATTGGTCTGGGCAGCTGACAGCAGAAGTTGTCCCCTGGGAGGTTGCACACACTATTTATGAGATGTCCCATTGCTCCAAACATCTGGCATGGACAAGAGGCTCCAGGGATGCTGGACTATGCGGTAAGACCCTCCCCAGATTTGAGATTTCCCTCAGCTGCTCATCAGCTCAGCGACCTCACAAATGACTCAGTGTCTCTGAGCCTCACTCCTCCTACCTGTGAAGGTTTATCTCCCTCCCCCAGGGTGTTCATGGAGATTGAACACGGTAATGGTCTTCTGGGGAGTGATCACCCCAGTCCTGATGCACTAGCTGATACCTCCATTCCCTTCCCTAATGGGAGTCATCTCGAGCCCACAATGACATCTTGTGACTTTGCATTGAGGGTTGTTTACTTATTATTTCAGGTTCAGCCAAAAATCCAGCCCCTCTCAAAGGACAAAGATTCAACCCTCCAGAATAGTTCACAAACACTTCTCACAGTCCTGCTTGCTGTGCAGGTGGTAAACATCGCTAGGAGTCCCGCCAACACTGTGAGTAAGGCACCCTTTTTACCCGTTTCACAGAAGGAGAAACTGAGGCTTAGTGAGGACAAGTAACTAATTCTGCTTCCCACACTTCACTCCCTAGAGTATCATGTGTGCATCTGTTAAAGTTCTCCTTTTACTGCCAGTAGTGTTTATGTATAATTAAAATAGCTCACATCTGTTGAGTAACAGTCACATTACAACCTGCATTAACTCTTCCACTTAATGCCTGTTAAAGGATTACCAACCCGTTTTACAGATGAGGAAGGCAAGGCACAGAGAATTAATGTCCACACCATACTTATCAGTGAGTGGAGTGGGAATTCAAACCTAGACCTTCTGGGCCTAGAGCCTTCCTCAGCCATTATCTCTCATTCTCCATTAGAGTTGGTTATCATGCGAGTTGAGGTCCAAAGGTTAATAGAAGTTACTATTCATCTTCTCCACAGATTGAACTTTTTATCTTTACCTAATGTCCTCTTCATCCTTTTAATGCTTTGGACCCTAAAACCCACTTAGATATTAACTTTGCCAATTCTTTCTTTTTGGTTACATGTCCCAGGTATACTTTTATCAAACTTTTAATTTTGGGTGTTTTGTTTTGTGTTTTTGTTAGTGAGACAAGATCTCACTTTGTCGCCCAGGCTGGAGTGCAGTGGCGCGATCTCGGCTCACTGCAACCCCCACCTCCTGGGCACGAGCAATCCTCCTGCCTCGGCCTCCCAAGTAGCTGAGACTACAGGCACGAGCCACCACACCCAGCTAACTATTTGTAATTTTTTTGGTAGAGACAGGTCTTGCCGTGTCACCCAGACTGATCTCAAAACTCCTGGGCTCAAGCGACCCACCCACCTTGGCCTCCCAAAGTGCTGGGATTATAGGCGTGAGCCACTGCACCTGACCCAATTCATAATTTTGAACCTCTTCTTACTATCCTATTTCAGATTTTTTTTGTAAACAACTATAGCTGGATTTTGTTTTCTAACCCAGTCTAAAGCAGTCTCAGATTTTGTTAGAACAACTGAGGGATCTGACATTTTTATGTCACTTTATTCTATGTGAATGGTTTATTTTACTCCTTTTTCCATAGTTTTGATGGTTTGGGCAAATTACTATTTATTCTCTTTCGAATTCTCAGTCTGTCATTTCAGCCAAGGGTTGCTTCCTAATCATTATATAGAAACATTATAAACAAACCAGGGAGGAAGGTTCAATCCAGTCTGTTGGAAACAGGGTAAGCACCTGCCTCCCCCTAGGACTGTCTCTGCTTCCTTCTGCCCTGCCCTCCCCAGTAAGAGCTACCCCAAGAAGGCTCTTATCCCTGCCACCTTCCACTGATATTTTCCTATAAACTGTGAGACTCAACTAACAATGATTCCTTCTCCTTCCATCTTGGGGTCTCTACTCTGGTCAACTGCCATTTTATTAGAGCCTTTCTTGATGATTTCCCTCAGACGTAACACAAGCGGGAACTATCCTCTGAATTCCTCTTGCTCGTCTGCAAAATATATTTCTTAGTCTGGTCAGCGAATGGTATTAATGCTCTGGAGAGGCTTCCTGGGCCCAGTCCAGCCAGAGCCCTCCGGCTTTCAGTGCTGCAGATGAGGAATCTGCTGCCAATGTATTTTTTTTTTTCTTCCTCCTTTGTCAATTATCTGTTTATTCTGTTGGGAAGTCTCTTTGATTTTATCTGTAGATTTCAAGAATGTCACCAGGAGATGCCAAGGGTGTATCTTTTTCTTTAATGTAACCCTGCCTGGAACTCTACCAACCTTTTCAATGTGCAAACTCATGCCCTCTTCTGCTCAGGGAAAATTTCTACTATTATTTATTGATCATATTCGCCATCTCCAGACCTGCTTCCTCTTCTCCTTCCGGAGCCCCTAACATTCACAGGTAGATGAAAAGACATCCACCAAGCCTATCTTTTCTTTCGTGACTTCCACCTGTGTTTCTGGTTTTCTGGGAGGCCTTTGTTTCCCAGAAACAATCTTCTTTTCCACTTTATGTTTTGAATTTTCTAAATTTGAAAATCCTGGTTCTAGAACTTCTTTTCTTGGGCAGTATCTGGATTTCCCCAGGTTTTTGAAACCTAACATTTGCCCAGTATGTGCCCCTTGACTTTCCTTCTCCCTCCAGCTGCGGGTCCCTCAAGGCTACTCCATGTCCCCTGCAGCCAGGTCCAGCTGTGGGGTCCCCTTCCAGTGGGTGCACGCTTATGCCTCTGGCCCCAGACCTGCCCGGGGGCAGCAATAGCTTTCAGCAACCTCTGGGACAGAGGGCAAGGGAAGGAGAGAGCGGAAAGGCTCGAACACCCCCGCCTCTGTTGGAAGGCCCCACTCAGGACTCTAACGACAGGAATTAATTCCCACTTTCTCTTCTGACTTGTTTTTGCAGAGATAAGGTTTTGTCATGTTGTCCAGGCTGGTCTTGAACTCCGAGGCTCAAGTGATCCTCCAGCCTTGGCCTCCCAAAGTGCTAGGATTACAGGTGTGAGCCACTGCACCCAACCAAGTGCCTTTGTAAGAGACCTTAGCCCCCTTGCCTCTTCTGCCATGTGAGGACACAGGGAATCAGAAAGTGGTCCCTCACCAGACACAAAATTTGCTGGCACCTTGATCTTGGACTTTGTCTCCAGAATTGTGAGAATAAATTTCTGTTTATAAGCCACCCAGTTTATGCTTTTTGTTTTTTTTTTTTTTTTTTGGTCACAACAGCCAGAATGGACTAAGACATCCTCCCTGGGGAAAGCCCCCACCTCAGCCCCCCTGTTTCTCTGCTTCATCACCCAGCACCCACTGGAATGTCAGCTCCACCCCGGCAGGACCTTCTTTGTTCCCCCCGCTGGACAGGCCTGGCTGTGAGTATGGTGGGATCTGCGCATGGGCCTGCTGGCTGACAGCCTGTCCTTCTCTGTGCTGGTGAAAAAGAGGGTTTGTTTCTTATTTCCAGCTTTCTAAAACGTATTTTTAGAATTACAAACATCAGAAACACAGTTCCTATCTGTAGGGCTGCAGTGGGCCAGAGTAAGATGGAGCCAGGGAGAGAGGAGAACACAGCCTGGCTTACCTCCGGGTGTGGGGTACAGAGCCAGGCCCTGCCGTGCCAGCTGTGCCTCCTCCCAACCCAAGCAAGCAGGCAGCCCAGCCTCGGTGAGGGGATCCAGGCTCTGTCTGTCTTGCTGTATGGTGTTGGCGACAGGTTCCCCTCTCTAGACCTCTGAGGTTAGAGTCGGCCAGTGGGTCCCTGTGGGGCTGGCTCACTGCCTTGGAAAACAGCCAGGAAGGCAGATTTCCAGGCCCCACCCGAGACCTAAGGAATCAGCCCCAGGGAGCAGGTGGAGATGAAACGTGCATTTAAACTAGCCTCTTTAGTGGTTCTCAGGTGGCTGCGGGAACTGTGGGTTGAGACCGTCTCCAAGGATAGATTCAGGAAGATCCAACTCAGTTTTGCTTTTAAGTCTCAACTCAGACCTCTCCTGGCTGCATAGACCCATGAGCCTTCTTGCCTCAGGTCTGTCATCTGTGAACCGGGCTGGGGAGGATTCTAGGGGCCGGTCCATGCACAGAGAAGACTTCACACCGAGCCGGCAGGACGCAGAGATAGTGCCCGCCCTGCTGTTCTAGGGCAAGATGCTCTGGCTCTCTGCCCATTGCTGTCCACACCTTCGCAGGAAGTAGATGATACATGTTAATTTAATTAATCAGCTGAAATCCTGAAGGCTTCCTAAGGGCATCTTTTCAACTGTCTGGATGGGTCGGGGGAAATCCCAGCCCCACAGAAGGGCTCCTGGGCCCAGCTGGCAAAGGTCCCAAATAGCTGCGGAAGACCTAGGAAGAGGTCAGGTGGCTTTATGGCCAGGGGCTGGGGCCTGAGCTGTCGGTTTGAGGCTTGGCACTGACAAGTCAAAATTCTGCCCGGCTGGTCTCTTTCTTGCTATGAATAAACATTTGCCGTCATCTGGATTAATCTCCAGCCTCTCAGCCACTCAGTGGGAGTGACTCCTCCTTGCCAGGGGGTGCCCTCTGGGCCTCAGAGGGTGAAGGACCTGGGACCTCTTGTGAACAGCGCATTCAACCCCACAGTTGCCACCACGGTGTGTGAGTTTCTTGCGTTGCCATTAGTTGGGAGCATTTAGTTTCCCAGGGCTACCATTCGGGTGAGCTGTGTGGGCTCCTGGCAGGCTGGGTGCCATTCAGAACCCGCTTCGCCTTCGAGGGGCCCATGAAGACCGAGGAGGCTTGGCCCAGACTATAAAAGGACCAGAACCTCAATGGAGAGTGATATAAATAGACACATGGCAGAGTGCTTCTGGGAAGCCAAAGGTGTGAGTGCTGTTAGATTCTGGACCACAGAAAGGCCAAGGTGCACAGCCGGCAGCCCCACCTTTGTTCCTTCCTGCAAAGCCTGAGTACGAGCTACCATGGGGCTCACGGCAGGAGAGGCGGGGGGCAGATTAGCTTTGTGCTCCCACATCCTCAGAGACACAGCAGACTAGAATTGGGAAAGCCAAAGCACTAATTGAACTGAAACTTGGGGGAGGATTTTGGGACATCCTCCTGCCTTGGCACTTTGGGAGGCAGAGGCGGGAGGATTGCTTGAGGCCAGGAGGTCGAGGCCAGGAAGTCAAGACCAGCCTAGGCAAATTAGTGAGACATAGTGAGCCCCTGTCTCTACAAAAACAATTAAGGAATTAGCTGGTGTGGTGGCATGCACCCAAAGTCCTAGGAGGCTGAGGTGGAAGGATCACTTGAGCCCAGGAGTTCGAGGTTACGGTGGACTATGACTGTACCACTGCACTCCAGCCTGGGTGGCAGAGCAAGATCCCGTTTCTAAAAAAATAAATAAATAAAAGAAAAAGGATAAGTAAGTCATCCTCAGAGGAAAGGACATGGCAGGGAGGGCAGCCGGCTCTTTCAGACAGGTACAGCGGTGTTAACAGGGGACAGAAAAGCAGCACCCAACCCAACCGGCTTCTGCCTTCTCCACCGTGGAAAGCAGAACAAGAAGGCATGAGAATAA